TCCCTTTCTATCTGTGTCAGCTAATGCCTTTGCTTCATAATGCATTGAGTACATAACAGAGGGTCTCATCTCTGCCCCCAATATAAACCTATCTTTAGCTCCATGTTCTAGGTGTTCCATCTTTTTACAATAAATATGGTTTCCATTCAGGCCTAATGTTCCAGATTTCAGCTCTTCTCCCTTTCCAAGGGCTTTGCTCCTGTGGGCATGTCCTCTACCAACTGTACCATCAAGTTCTCTCCATTTTTTTCCCACTAATATACAAACTTACTCAATCTCTCACCTTTCCCCCAAATGCAATTCTGGCTACCACTAATTTCTCTACTTTTTAATGGCAAAACTTCTAGCAAGTACTATCTCTATTCACTGTCTTGACTTTCTCTACTGCAGCTTCTATCCCCACCATTCCATGGAAAACTTCATTCAAGATCATCAGTAACCTTCCTGTCACCATTCCAGCAGACGTGTCTATCTGCATCGTTTTCACTTACTACAGGAATTGACTCAGTTGACCTTGAAATACTGTTTTAGCTTTACTTTTGTGACCCTCTTGACCTCCTATTTTACCTGATCTCTAATCTCTTTCTACTCAAAGTGTGATCCAGAAGACCAGCAGCATTGATAGCACATGGGAGTTTGATTGGCAGACTCAGACCCCAAACCTACTGGATCATAATCTGCAATTCATATGATCACCAGATAACTCCAGGGACATGAAAGTTTTAGAATCATTGCTCTAAATGTTGGTGTGCCCCAGAGCCAGTGCTGTGCTTTCCTTCCAGGTGGTCCCATCCAGACCCAAGGCTTTAAAAACTATGTACTTTTTTAATCTCCAAATCTCTCTCACACACACAGCTCTGATAGCCCTCCTAAATTCCAAATTCATATACTCAATAGCCTACATGACATGTCCATTTGGATGTCTCAAATATTTCAAATCTAGTATGTTGAAACCCTCTGCCACCTACATACATCTACTATAAAGCTCCACCAAAGTAAGAACAGCTCAGTTTACTGAGTCCTCACAATGCTAGTTATGATCTTCAATGCATAACATATCAGCTCATTTGGTCCTCGCCACCAACAACAGGTACATTGGCCCATACCAATGGGAGAATGGAACTACCATAACTGAGATGTGGAAAGTTAAGTAGAAGCATATCTTGTTTTGCTATGCTTCATTTTATTGCACTTTGAAGGTTTGTGGCAACTCTATGTCAAGCAAGTCTATCATCACCATTTTTCCCTAGTAGCATTTACTCACTTTGTGTCTGTGTCACATTTTAGTGATTCTCACAATATTTCTACCTTTTTAATCATTGTATTTGTTATGATCTGTGATCAGCGATCTTTCATGTTACTATCATAATTGTTTTGGGGTGCCTCAGACTGAGCTCATATAAAATGAAAAACTTAATCAGCAAATGTTGTATGTATTCTGACTGTACCACCAACCAGCCATTCCCCCATCTCTCTCCCTCTCCTCAGGCCTCCCATTGCTTGAGACATAACAATTTTGAAGTTAAGCCAGTGAATAAACCTACAATGGCCTCTCAATGTTCAAGTGAAGAGTTGTACATCTTTAAGTTCAGTGAGGAAGGCATGTCAAAAGCTGAAACAGGCCAAAAGCTAGGTCTCTTATGTCAAACAGGTAGCCAAGTTGTGAGTCCAAAGGAAGGGTTCTTGAAAGCAATGGAAAGTGCTGCTCCAGTGAACACATAAATGATAAAGTAAAATAGCCTGTTGCTGATATGGAGAAAGGTTGAGTGGTCTGGATAGAGGAAGATCAAACCAGCCACAACATTCCCTTAATCCAAAGCCTACTCCAGAGCAAGGCTCTAACTCTCTGTAATTCTATGAAAGCAGAGAGAAGGGAGGAAGCTACACAAGTTTAAAAGGAGCAGAGGTGGGTTCACAAGGTTTGAGGGAAGAAGCCATCTCCATAACACAGAAGTGCAAGGTGAAGCTATAAGCACTGGTGCAGAAGCTGCAGCAACTTATCCAGAAGATCTGCCTAAAATAATTCATGAAGGTGGCTACACTAAACAACTGATTTTCAATGTAGACAAAACAGCCTTCTTTTGGAAGGTGATGTCTTTGTGGACCTTCATGGCTAGAGAGAAGTCAATGCCTGGCTTCAAAGCTTCAAAGTTTCCTTTGTTAGAACCTAATGCAACTGGTGACTAAATTGAAAGCAATGTTCATTTATCATTCTGAAAATTCTAGGATCCTTAATTATGCTAAATCTACTCTGCCTATGCTCTATAAATGGAACAACAAAGCCTGGATAACAGCATGTTTTCATAACACGTTTCATTGAATATTTCAAACCCACTATTGAGACCTACTGCTCACAAAAAAAGACGCCTTTCAAAACATTACTGACTGACCATGTACCTGGTCACCCGAGAGCTCTAATGGACACATACAATGAGATTAATGTTCTTTTCATTCCTGTAAATATATAATTCATTCTATAGTCCATAGCTCAAGGAATATGATTTTGATATTCAAGTATTATTTAAGAAATACACTTCAAACTGCTATAGCTTTCATAGACTATGACTCTTCTGATTGGTCTGGGGAAACAAAAACTTCTGAAAAAGATTCACCATTCTAGATGCCATTAAGAACATTTGTGATTCAAGGAGTGCCTGGGTGGTTCAGTGGGTTAAGCATTCAACTCTTAATTTTGGCTCAGGTGATGATCTCAGGGTCATAGGATTAAGCCCTGTATCAGGCTCCATGCTCAGCATGGAATCTGCCCCACTCCCGCTGCTCCTTCCCCAGCCCTCGCAGACGCTCACACTCTCACTTTCTCAAATAAAATCTTTTAAAACAAACAAGAAGAACATTTGGAGCACTTGGGTGGTTCAGTCAGTTAAGCATCTGCCTTCGGCTCAGGTCAGAATTCCAGGTTCCTAAGATTGAGCCCCACATCAGACTCCCTGCTCGGCAGAGAGCCTGCTTTTCTCCTTCTCTCTTGGCTGCTCCCCCTGCTTATTATGCTCTCTCCCTTTCTCCTTCTCTGTCAAATAAATAAAAGTCTTTAGAAAAATTAAAAAAAAATTTTAAAAAGGGACATTCGTAATTCATGAGAAGATACCAAAATTACTAGGAGTTTAGAAGAAGTTGGTTCCAACCCTCATGGATGACTTAGGGAGAGTTCGAGACTTCAATGGAGGAAGAAACTGCAGATGTGGTAGAAATAATAAGAGAACTAGAATTCAAAGTGGCGTCTGAGGATGTGACTGAATTGTTATAATCTCATGATAAAACTTGGACAGATAAAGAGTTGCTTGCCATGGATGAGCAATGAAAGTGGTTTCTTGCAATGGAATCTACTCTTGGTGAAGATGTTATGAAGATGGGTGAAATGACAACAAAGAATTTAGAATATTTCACCAACTTGATAAAACAGCTGTATAGTTTGAAAAGACAGACCCCAATTTTGAAAGAATTTCCACTGTGGGTAAAAGACTATCAAACAGCATCACACATTACAGAGAAATCATTCATGAAAGGAAGAGTTAATGAGGCAAACTTCTTGTGGCCTTGAAGTAAGAATAAGTAATTGCCACAGCCACCCCAGTCAGTAGGCAAACACCACCCTGATCAGTCAGCAACCATCAACATCAAGCCAAGACCTTCCACTAGCAAAACTTACAACTTGCTGGAAGCTCAGATTATGTTTAGTATTTTTTAGTAATAGAATATTTTTGAATTAAGCATGTATATTTTTAGTAATATTGCTATTGCACACTTATTAGACCACAAAATATATAGAAAATATATAACTCTATATACAATATATAATATATAGTATACATAAATATAACTTTTATGTGTATTGAAGACCAAAAATTCACTTGACTCACTTTATTGATATACTTGCTTTATTGTAGTGGTCTGAAATTGAACCTGCAATGGCTTTAAGGTATGCCTGTAATTTGCCCACAGACATCTACCACACCCAATTTGAAGTTAGGTAGTCTGACTCCAGAATATGTTCCTAAATGTTATACCTCTCAATTTCATCTGCCCCACAGCTCAAAGTAGAAATCTAAAAGTCATTTATTTCTGCATCATCCACTTCCAATCCTGTATAATTCCAACATTACCTTGAATTGATGTACCTCTCTCCATTTCCACAGCCATCACCCTGTCGGAGCCATCATTTTGCTTGTCCATTCTCATCTCCCACCTTCCACTTTGCCTGGTCTTCCCCTGACCGAGTGAGTTTTTTAAAAGTAAGAATCTAATGTCATTGTCTTGTTGAAACTCCTTCATGGGCTGCCATATGCTTGATCATGGTCAAAGAACTTTCTGTGACCTGAGCCCTGTCCTCTCTAATTTCTGTCCCACATTAGCCTCAGGGGCCCCTATTTCTGGAACATACCAAGTATGTCACCTACCTGCTCACAGCCTTTGCTCTTGCTGTTCCCTTGAATCAAAACCATCTTTTCTCCAAGCTCTCTCCATCCTGCAGGTCTCAATCTTCATGGTCCCTCATCCCAACCACCCTACCTAAAAGCTCACTCTATGGTAGCATAGCACACTGTTTCCTTCACAGCACTTACCACATCTGGATCTGAGAAAAAAAAAATGTAGTTCAAGCCATGGAGCAAGTCCAAGTTCACATGGATTCAGATCCTGGCACTACATTATGATCTCTCTGTGGCTCCCTCTCATCTGTTAAGAAAGGGTATAGCAGTTTCTACTTAATATGGCAGCTATGATGAGTTACAATCCCTGGCACATAAGTGCTGTTGAAGCATTTGCTGTAATTATTATGTATATTTGAAGGCAAGGACCTTTTCCCCTGATCATCTCTATGTTCCCAGTGCTTAGAACACCCAGCTAATGAAAGTTTGTCAAATGACTATTGTTCCTCTTCATTTTTCCTTTCCTGTAAGTGACAGTATCTACCATTTCCCGATGCCACATGGATGTTTTTACCTTGGGATCACAATTAATGTACCTTCACAGTCTATTTTACATGCATTTATTTTATTCTATTCACATTGTACAATTGTTATACAACCTACAAAAAGTACAAAAACCTAATCCATTTTCCAATGCCAAGTCAGAGCTAAGTTACAAGGAGAATTTGGATGTCCTGTACAATTCATACTGCCTGTCACATGATGTATTTAAAGCTGTAAGTATTGCCACAGGAGAATCTCTTGTCTTTGCAGCGACCGCACAGATCCTGTCGATGAGGCCTCCTTAGATCAATATGTCTTTTCTTTTGAGGACAGGAACAACAAGACTTTGAACAGGTCTTTAGAAAACAAGGAACAGTTTGGACACTAAATAATCCAGTCAGTGCTTTAAATGGAATCCTCAAATCAAAATACTTCTCCCCACCACCATTATTCCTCATATCTTCATCCTCCTTTGAATCCTATGAGAAGTCCAGGACAAAGTTGTATAAAACCACTCATTCTGTTAAATGGCATGCATTTTTCCAGATGAAAAAGAAAAGATAGATTTATCTTAGCAGAATACTGCTAAGCCAACCAAGACTTAATGTAAGAGAAAGGTTTTAAAAGAGTTTATATATAGGGCATGCAGGTGGCTCAGTCAGTTAAGTGTCTGCCTTCAGCTCAGGTCATGATCCCAGCATCCTGTGATCAAGTCCTGCATTGGTACCCTACAGCAGGGAGCCCACTTCTCCCTCCTCCCCGCTGCTCATGCTCATGTGCTGGCTCACTCGCTCGCTTTGTCAAATAAATAGTTTATAGAGTGTCTTCACTAATGGGTTTTTACATTTGTGAGCCAGGTGGGGCTCAGGGGCACTGAATACTAAGTGATTTGATTATCTAGGCTGGAGTATTGAATATTTGAATATCACTAAAGCAGTGATTCTCAACCAATTGATTTCACAGACTAGCAGATATCTGGCAATGTCCAGAGAGGCTTCTGGTTGTCACAACTAGACAGAACGGGAATTCTAGAGAAAGCTAATGCTCTTTTCTCTCCAGACATGCCTAATCTTTACTATAAAACAATCATTATCCCATTCTGTCTTCTGGTAAATAAAAAAATCACACTCTATGGGGATCAGTATACTACCTTTGTCCACTCTCGCAACCTGCTAATCTTTAAAATCGATCATCGTTGCTCTATTTTCTGCATATGACAACTAAAAATAAGTTTCATATTTTATATTGTGGAAGCAGACATTTTAATTTTGCAAATGGAAGTCCTAATTATCATTTATGAAATGGTGTACTACGTTTATATCTTCCACTCTTTTAGTGGCCAATATGCACCCTTATAAGAAAATTCTAATACCTAATACATGGTGTTTTCTGTATGTGCTGTTCTAAGTACTTTATATAAATTCATTTAATCCTCACAAATAGGGACGCCTGGGTGGCTCAGTGGTTAAGCATCTGCCTTTGGCTCAGGGTGTGATCCTGGGGTCCTAGGATCAAGTCCCACATCAGGCTCCCTGCATGGAGCCTGCTTCTCCTTCTGCCTGTGTCTCTGCCTCTCTCTGTGTGTCTCTCATGAATAAATGAATAAAGATCTTTAAAAAAAATCCTCGCAAATACTCTTATTATGGGGTGGAGGGGAAGGATCAATTAAAAAAATTAAAAAATCAAGATTTACTCTAAAGGTAGGTTTCTGTTTCTGGCAATGGTGGACCAGGTAGTTTTTTTTTTTTTTTTATGATAGTCACACAGAGAGAGAGAGAGAGAGGCAGAGACACAGGCAGAGGGAGAAGCAGGCTCCACGCACCGAGAGCCCGACATGGGATTCGATCCCGGGTCTCCAGGATCGCGCCCTGGGCCAAAGGCAGGCGCTAAACCGCTGCGCCACCCAGGGATCCCCTGGACCAGGTAGTTTTGATCAAGCCTCCTACTTAGGATAACTAGAAAACCTGAGTTAAAAAAATAACTTTTTAAAAGAACTATTTGAAGGCACTGAAGAAATATCAAAGCATTAGAGAAAGAAACCCATAAATGGAGGTGAGCCACACATTTGGGACTATTTCCTCTCTAAAGGTCTGCCAATTCTAAAAGAGGTGAAAGAGAGTGGGAAGGAAAGTAAGTCCGAGAAGTTGATGAAGCTGAGGGATAATCTTAAACATGCCCAAAAGAGACCTGGTAAAGTTGAGGTTTTGTATTGGGACCCTGAAAGGCTACAGTTTAAGAATAAAGATGAACCAAGAATTGGCCCAGCTTTCACAGATTCTGAAGCCCAGCTTCAAAATAGCTCAATCTGATTAGAAAACAAATCTAAAATTGGGGACACCTGGGTGGCTCAGCGGTTGAGCGTCTGTCTTCGGCTCAGGGCATGATCCCGGATTCTCGAGATCAAGTCCCACATCTGGCTCTTTGCATGGAGCCTGCTTCTCCTCCTTCTGCCCGTGTCTCTGCCTCTCTTTCTGTGTCTCTCATGAATAAATAAATAAAATCTTCAAAAAAAAATCTTAAATTGTTAGTGCCCCTATCTTCCCACCAGAAGCAAACAAATCTCTCATGGAGCAAGATACTATCCTATGCCTCAAATTATCACTATAATTCTTCATATTAGATAGATAGCACTCAGTCAAAAATAACTGAGTATACGAGGAGACAGAACCACAGAAAATGAAGAGGACAGCAACAGAACCGTAGGACTTTAAGTCAATGGAGTTACCTAATACAGACTTTAATTATGCTTAATACAAAGAAACAAGACTGATATTTTTAGCAGAAAACTGGTAGTCATTTTTTGAACACACAAAAATTGTAGAATAACTGAAATCAATTCAATAGATGGGTTTAATAGTAGATTGAAAATAGCAGAGGAAAGAATTAGAGAAATGGAAGACAGTTTAGTATATGATATCCAAAGTAAAGCAAGGAGACACAAAAGCATGGGAAATCTAGAAAAGGGCATATAAGTCATAAGGGAGATGGTGAAAGGTCTAATATGAGTAACTGAAAGAAAGAGAATGGAGGAAGAATATTTTAAAAGATAATGGCTCATAATTTTCCAAAGGAGTTAAAAACCTCCAAGCTACAGATCCAAGAAACGCTATGAATCCCAAGCAAGATAAATAGAAACCACAACTAGGCAGAAAATTGAAAAACTATTGAAAACCAAAAAAGAGAGAACAATCTCAAAAGTGAGTAGATTTAAGGAGACAACGAGCGAGAGATACTACTTTGACAGAGCTGCAAAAATACTAAGAGCCAACTTTGCAAAAAACAATGAAGGTCAGACCCTTAAAGGGCAGAAAATTACTGCCAACCTAAAAAATCTATACCCAGAAAAATTATCCTTTAAAATCCAAGAGGATGTGTTACCTTCAGACCTGCACTATGGTAAATATTAAAACATGGGACACCTGGGTGGCTCAGTCAGCTAAGTGTCTGACTCTTGGTTTTGGTTCAGGTCATGATCTCAGGGTCTTGAGATCAAGACCTGTGTTGGGCTCTGTGCTTAGCAAGGAGTCTACTTGAAGATTCTCTCCCTCTGCCCTTCCCACTACTCACTCTCTCTCTCAAATAAAATAAAATATTTTAAAAATATATTAAAATGTATTCTTCAGATAAAAGGAAAGTGGCTCCAGATACAAAAAGGACCTAAAAACAGCAGAAAGGAAATATATATAGTTAAAGCTACATGAATGACTATATAAAATAATGTCTTGTGAAGTTTAAAATTAAAATATACAACAGCAGGATATAAATTAGGATGAGGTGATAAGGAGTTAGAATGTTCTAACTTCGCTGCATTGTCAAGAGAGATAATATTCACAATTTATGTAGACTTTGGTAGTCCAAGAGCCATGTTATGAGGTCTAAGGCAGACCTCATAACCAAAAGAACAATAAACAATGAATAACTACCAAAATAAAGAGATATGGAGAATTTTTACTTAAAAAAGTCAATTCAACTGGACACAAGAAAATAAAAATATATTTAAACCCAACTTATATTAAACATAAGCTAGGGCAGCCTTGGTGGCTCAGTGGTTTAGCGCCACATTCAGCCCAGGGTGTGATCCTGGAGACTCGGGATTGAGTCCCACGTCAAGCTCCCTGCATGGAGCCTGCTTCTCCCTCTGCCTGTATCTCTCTCTCTCTCTCTCTCTCTCTCATGAATAAATAAATAAAAATTTTAAAAAGATTTTTATTTATTCATAAGAGACAGAAAGAGAGAGAGAGAGAGGTAGAGACACAGGCAGAGGGAGAAGCAGGCTCCATGCAGGGAGCCCGACGTGGGACTCGATCCTGCGACCCCAGGATCACACCCTGGGCTGAAGGCAGCGCTAAACCGCTGAGCCACCCGGGCTGCCCTAAATAAATAAAATCTTTAAAAAAAATAAGCTAAATGAGAATGTCAGACTAGAAAATCTAAAGGTAAATTATTTATAAACCATTAGACTGGCTTTTTTTAGTATTTCCAAGTAGTACACAAAATATTTTTAACTAAATGATTTAGAATTTTAAAAACTCCTGACTACCAAAACCAACTATGTCACACTTCCCTGAAAAGTTTTATTTTTTTAAAGATTTTATTTATTTATTTATTCATTCATTCATTTCATGAGAGACACAGAGAGAGAGGCAGAGATATAGGCAGAGGGAGAAGCAGGCTCTATGCAGGAAGCCTGATGTGGGACTCGATTCTGGGACTCCGGGATCATGCCCTGAGCCAAAAGCAAATGCTCAACCACCGAGCCACTCAGGTGTCCCTCCCTGAAAAGTTTTAAAAGATTTCCTACAAACTGTTTTGGAGAAGATCTCATCTAATTCTGTGATTTCCTAGACACTGGAAACACCATAAAATCTGATCATAGTTTTAATGTTTACTATTTGTCTAAACTTGAGCAAGTTATTTTCTTATTGAACTTTAGCTTTCTGGTCTGTAACATGGGGATAACACATACCTCGAAGTTTAGATTACAGGAGATAATGTAAAACACTTACCCCAAAGTTTGGTATAAAGTAAAAGTTTAATATAGGCTACCTATTAAGTTACTACATCCATATGGAATTGTTGAAACACTGAAACTAATTGTACACCCAAAACCAATTTAACACTGTATGTTAAGTGGAATGAAAATAAAAACTTTAAAAAGTTGCTACATCCAAACTACAGAGTGTTTGAGAAACATATAGCCCATATATAAACATACCATATAAAACTTAAAAGAGCCCATCTTTCTCCCTTCCCTACATCTGCCAAAAATCTAGAATTTATTTTTCTAAATTATTTTAAAAATTCAAGGAATAGAAAACTTAATACTCCCATGCAAATAATAAATTCTATGAAATCCCAACATTTTGCCACAGAAGCTTCATATTTAAGAATGGCAACATTACCGACACAACAAAAGCAGTCCATATGCTTACCTGACATTGGATTGCTTCTACTCGATAAGGGTTAAAACTCTTTTGGCATTTGCAACATAGTTGTTTGAAATAAACCTAAGGAGAAATAAGTCTTTTTTTTCATACAAGATTATATGTACCTTAGACTCTTAGTTCTTAAGTAATCCATTCCCTTACTTTGTGCCTTGTTTTTGCCCAACCTCTACCCTGAGGTCTTAAACTCTTCTAATGCTATCACTTTTTCCTCATTCTTTGAACCTCATTTTCCTTACCTGTAAAAATCGAGATACTACCACTTATTTTCTATAATTCTGACAACTACTCAATAATGTAGTTTTTTACTACAGTAAAACTCTCAAATAGGAAGTAGCTATTATAATTTTACTCATTGTGTGGGCCAAACCTTTGACCTTCACCTTCTGTCCTAGTCTATGAATCTCTACTTTTTCATTTTATCATTTTCCTGTTTGAACTTTGATATATTTGTAGTTACCCATACATATTGTTTCTTAACTCTGCATTTTCTTGTGTGCATTTTCTCCATGCTTTATTTGATGAATCCTATTTATCCTCTAAAATTCTTGTGTGCATTTTCCCCCTGCTTTGCTTGATGAAATCCTATTTATCCTCTAAAATCATGATGCCTTCCCTCCAACAGGGTAATCATCCCCATCCTGTGTTATTTTTGCACCACTTCTATGGCACTGGTGCCACTATGTCTATCACCAAAATTTCATATGTGTCATTCTTATGAGAATAAATTTCTTAAGAATAAGTTCTAGATTTTGTTCTTTGCAGCCTACCATCTTGTAGTATTTTAATTAAACCCACTGTTTTTCTTCTGGCAAGAGAGGAGAGTAATTTTAGCATAGTTTTAAAATTTATTTGCCTCCAGAGCCTAGTAAATGGCTAGTATGAAAAGTCAAGTTCTCACTCAGGTCTTAGCACGCCTCCTTGCCCTCTCCTTCTATAGACCATTAGCCAGAAACGAGAAAGCAAAGGGAACTCAAACTCAACTGCTTGTTGAAGTTAATGAAATAGATCAGATGTAGACTATTGCAAAATCAAGCGTGCATGCCCAGTGAAAGGAGCTAGAAGCTGCTAAGTCCCAGCCTACTGTTTTCACATTGAAATGAATCTATAGGGACCAGAGTCTAATCAGGGAAATCTGGAAATGTCAATCGTGAAGTCTTTGCCAATCTTAATATGTTGACAACTAATTCAAATTAAGAGGGGAAAACTGCTTAACCTAAAGAAGTCTCTCCAAGGCTAACCTTTACGATAAATTTACAAAAATCTCTTATTGCTCCACCTTGTGGACAGACTATGGAAATTTCCAGAAGCTAATGCCCAAACAGGTATATTCAAAATATACCAACTAAAAAATTATACAGTTCCACTATACACAAGAACGAGAGTTCACCTAAATCATCTGAGATTTTGTTCAACAGAATTACCAAACCAAATATAACACCAGATTTAAGAGCCTCAGGAGTTCATGTGGACAGTCCAATTCAGTTCAAACATTAAGTACCTATTAAGTGCCTGGCACTAAGGATGCCAAATCAATGAGATACCGTTATAGTCATGCTCCATCAGGAAATACTCTCCTTCTATTTAACATCTGTGTCTGCCCCACTCTCCTCCCACATCCGGCTCACTTTTACTTACCTTATTAGTTCCAGAAATGCACCACACATAAGCACTCTCCCATCTGGTCTTACAATCTTTACAATGAAAATAGCCATATTTTGCTTCCAAAAACTGCAAATAAAGGGGTAAAGTCTTTTACAATCGGGGGGGGGGGAGTGAAGCCAGATGGTCTTTCCTCCTGGCTTCAGATAAAGAAACAAAAAGTATCCCTTAACCCCATTCATAGTTATTATCAAGGCAACCATGATAATTTAGCAGCTCATTTCTCGGAAACAAGAAGAATCCCAGAATAATCCTTGTCTCTCGTACTTTTCTCATGTTCTTTCAACTGCCACCAGCACAATCTCCCCGAACAAAAATCTGATCACATACTTGACTTGAAACCCCACCTATCTCATTTCCAATAGTAATGGCCACCAGACTTTCTGTTTTCACATGTTTAAAGTTGTCCCCCTATTTGACCAAAAAGTTACAAAACCTATAGGCCACGTAAAACACATTTTCAGAACTACCTCTCCATCAAGTAAAAGGAGAAAGTGAAAGACGATTTTGCTCTGTTGGCCTAGAAATGGAAAAGAGAAAGGCGGGATGAGGCTGAGACCTGAGGATAGGTAGGAGAAAGTTCACCTGGAAAGTGGGTTTCCTGAGCAGATCTGCTCCACCAACTCCCTGTGCCTGCTTACTCTTCTCTCTCCGAGGACTTGAGGCATCTTCCTCCTCCAACTCATTGTGCTGGTGAGGCTCCTCCTGCTTGTCTTCTTCTGACCTTGGCATCGGTGGTGGCTGCTGCTGCTGCTGCTGCTCACTGGCCTCAGTGGGACACAAAAGAGCCTTCCTCTCTTGGTCTTCCCCTTCCCTCTGCAGCTGAATCAGGCTCCTGCGGCCCGTGACTGGTGAATAGACTCCCCAGGCTGTCAGGGGTGCCTTGTGGCCTGCACTGCCCCAAGGGGAGCGGCTGCACAGGGTGCGAGGCCCCAGCGAGCACTGCACGGACTTGTCCACCCGTGGGCTCACTTGCACACCCACTTCCCTGGTGTTGGCCCTATAAAGCTGCAAGCTCAGACTGGGGTTCATCTGAGAGAGAATGGCCTTAAGCTGTGCCCTCTTGTAAGGGTCCATGCAGTAGTGAGAGGCATTTGCAGGCACCAGCAACCCAGGCCTGGCCAGGAAATTGGGGGGACCAGTATTTCGCCTCCAGTCAGGCTGTTCGTGTTCAGAGAGTCCAGGATGACCCAAAGGCACTGTATTCCCGTAGCCCTGGTACAAGCCATAGGGAACACGGACAAGACGCTCCATCTGCTCGCCTGGTGCCCAGGCGCAGCACAATATTCCTGGGTGGTTTCTGTCTCCTAGTTTTGCCTTCCACCTTCATCCACCCCTTCTTTTTCCTGATCAAGTTAGTACAGGTTCATTCCAAGCTTCTCCCTTTATTTCAGATTCCAGTGGGAGCTGCTGCCTATTACCCTAATTAAAGGAGGACAGGAGATCTACCTATCTAGAGGTCTAATTTCCACCTGATTCCTAATTGCTCTTCCCTATCTCTCCAATACACTCTTCCTGAATCTTTTTCAAAGCTGTTTTTTATTTCTGACTTCTTATTCACACACATGCTTTCATCAGCAAGTCCCCCGTGTATCCTATAATAACTATTTTAGAGATCTTGTTTTAAAGCATATAGTAAATCAAATACAAGTAGTAAGTTATTGAAGCAGCAAAGTAGAAGAGTATATTACGGCAGAGCTAATGAATACAAAGACCCTAGAACCACAGAAGCAAGGAGAATAGTGTTATGGGGGGGGGGGTAGGGGTGTATATAGTGTGAGAATATGTATTTCAGAGGGTCTTACTGCATGCCAACAGTTCTCATTAACTCACTCCTAGTGAGGACCCATTTCCAAAAAGGTGAAAAAAGCGAGTTGTTTTAATTTACAGGGTAAATGGAAACTGAAACACGGGCTACGTATCTGAAATCAAAGGGAACTGAATGGAAACCTGAGCCTTGTCACTAGGCGAGTTACTTAACCAGATGATTTGGTTTCCCCATCTGACAATACTAACCAATTTGCAGGATTTTTTAAATAAGATTTAATGTGATACTACTACATAGCACAAAACAGAGTAAGTCATGGACGTTCAGTAAGTGGTAACTACCACAGGCTTCAGTATCTGTGTTGGTAAGGCTCCCTGCTGCAGCTAAAGACTATGATCCAACTAACGTGACGCCTATGTAGCCACCTAGAGGCCACCCTTTTTCTAATCCAAGGCTGTTTCGCTGTTGACTGCTCCAGAGCTTCCCGGAAGCACCAAGGAAGGCCCAGGAGTAGCTCTCAGTCCACACCAGTTGAAAGTTTTCTAGGTTACACAACAAACCTGAATCAAGCTTCGTGCTAATGCCACAGACCCTTCTCCCAGGGCGACTTGGAGAGAAGACAGGCAGAGAGCCAGGTGACTGGCACCCCGAGAACGTAAAGGACGCGACGGGAGCCTGCGGAAGGTGTAGTGCCTAACACTGCAGGAGCGGGTTAAAGCGGTTCCACAGTTTTTCAAGGGGGCAAACCGGCTTCGAGGGCTCGGAAACCCGCCACCCAAGAGCAGCCCACGGACTAGAACTAACGCCCGCTGGTTCAGGTCGCATCCTGGTCCAGCCACCGAGGCAGTCGGCCGCTCTACGGGCAGAAGAAAGGTCTTTCAAAGACCCCAGGTCAGGCCGCCCGCGGCCACCCAAACGCCAGGTGGAGTAGAGAGAAGGGGGAGGAGGCGGGGAGTATACACGGTGCGCGGTGACCCCCAACAGCGCCGCGTCGAGCTGCGAAGGGCTCAGGGAGAGGAGAGCGAGCACCCCGACTCCCTCTTCACACGGTTCCAGGCCGACCGCCCAGCAGCAGAACGAGGACTCGGCTTTCGCCACACGGACGCGCCCGCCGCCCGCCTGCCCGCCCAGAACCCGACTTCCGGGAGGCGCGCACGCTGCGTGTCGCGTCATGCGTCACTGCGTGAAGCGTCGGCAGAGCGGGTTTTTGGCGCGAGGATCTGAAAGAAGGTCGGCGGAGGCGGAGGCGGAGCTGCTGGGGCTTGGCGCTCTGGGAGTCGTCCCAGCCGTGGGTCGCCGAGGAGAGGAGCCTGCGGGTCAGCTTTCCGGCCGAAGTGGCGGCGCGATTTTTGTTAGCCTTCTCCGGCCAAAAAGAGCTGCACCTCGGAAGGCGGTTAGTGTTGGCTGGGTGGAGACGCACGGGCCTGTCTTCCGCGGTGTGAGGCGGCGGGGGGCGGGGGGCGCCTCTTCTTCACAGGGTGAGGGCCGGGGCCTCCTGCCCCCACGGTCTCTGCAGCCTCTCACCCACCGGGAGAAAAGGGCCCACGGTTGGGCTCCTCAGCGAGGCAAACGCGAGCCCCGCCCCTTCCCTGGACTCCGCTTCCCCACTTCGCGCCCCGCCAGCTGCCCGGGTTTGCCCTGAGCTGCCCTAGATGTTCCCCCCCCCCCCAGCCTGAAATTTCCTTAACCGGAAATACGATGGATTACTTTAACGGACTGTTAATTTTAGAAAATGTTTCACAGCTCCTGGCACACTGTCTGCCTTGCTTAACCCCCAGGCAGTTGCTGCATTACGAAGATTTACTGATTTCGACGTCGTCAGAAGATACCTCTAATAGGAACCTGTTGCTGACCTGCGCACCCCCTAGCCACACTATTTAAATAACATTTACAGTGCTGTCCGTGAGTCACGCCTGCCGCGTTTCGAATGCTTAATGTGGCTAGTGCCACCGTACTGGACAGCGTATATATAGAATGCTCCCATGGTCGCAGTGAGTTGGATTATTGTCCCAAAACATAGGACCGAGGTACATAAACAGTGTTTATCAGCTTCTGATTTTACCTCAGTCGGTTAACCAAGACTGCGTCCCTGTAAAGTGTTATTTTGGTGTCTTTTGCAGAGTTATTTACCAAGCACTGGAGTAATATTGTAGATAAAAATGCCTATTGGATGCAAAGAGAGGCCGACACTTTTTGAAATTTTTAAGACGCGGTGCAATCAAGCAGGTATTGACAAATTTTATAGACATCGATCATTTACACTGAGAAAATGTCCTCAGAAAAATACGTAACTGTGCATGCTTGCTGAAAAGAAGCCAACATTTCACGTTTTCACTATGAACTGTTCCGTCAATGCGGTCCTAAGTCAGTTAAGAAAATGACCATTTACCATTATCCAAATGATAAGTATAGAACCTTAGGGATAATGAGGAGATTCACCTCTTGATGAGCAGTAGGAAGAACTGTTTTTAAAGCGCAGAGCTTTTAGCAAACCTTAAGCGTTGGTACTGTCACTTTATATCAGAAGTTTGACTTTTTAGTCTCCGTACTCCTTACACTCTTGAAAATGATTGAGGACTTCAAGGAGCATTTGTTTTTAAAAATGTTTATTCACTTAAAAATAACAAATCCATTCCATATTAACACAAACATTTTTTTTAACACAAACATTTTTATGAAAAATACTGTTCCCCCCCCCCCACCTTTTCCCCCGCAAAAAGAAGAGTGGCACTGTTACAATTTTGCAGTTCTCTTTAATATCCGGCTTAGTAGAAGATAGCTAGATTCTCATACCTGTTTCTGCATTTTTTTTAAGATTTTATTTCTATTTATTCATGAGAGACACAGAAAAAGGCAGAGACACAGGCAAAGGGAGAAGCAGGCTCCCTTCGAGGACGCCAGGATCATGCCTTGAGCCAAAGACAGATCCTCAATCACTGAGCCACCCAGGTGCCTCTGTTTCTGCATTTAATTTGTTCCAGTATATTGTTTTGGTAGAAGTATATAAAGAAAAGCCATCTTCACACAACAATGTAACTGAAAAAAGGAGTATTTCAGTAGTCTTCAGTTAATTGTGGGTATCTTTCTTTGATAATACACCAAAACTTGACAAGTAGTAGTTTTAAGAGTTACAGTATGGAATGGATACCATATTATGAACTTTCATTCTCTTTGTTACATTTAATTCTATTAGTCTTTCTTGCACTTTGAATAAATCTTTTATCTGTGTTGTAACATCAGGCACTGATCATTTGGAAAATGTCAGTGTTCTGAATTACACAGATATACCATATATTGACACATTGTCTTAAACTGTAAAAATTAAATTCATTAATTCACTGACCTCATCAGAAAAGTCTTAAGATTAGGAAGATGTCAAGCTTACAGAGGCAAATAAAGTTTAACAAAATTCTTTTTTTTTTTTTTTTTAAGATTTTATTTATTTCTTCATGAGAGAGTGAGAGAGGCAGAGACATAGGCAGAGGGAAAAGCAGGCTCCCTTCAGGGAACCTGATGTGATGCGGGACTTGATCCGGGAACTCCGGGATCATGTCCTAAGCCAAAGTCACACACTCAACAGCTGAGCCACCCAGGCATCTCAAAGTTTAACAAAATTCTAATTACCATTTAAAAGATCCCATTTTGGGGTGCCCAAAGGGTGGCTCAGATGGTTAAGCATCCTACTCTTGATCTCAGCTTAGGCCTTCATCTGAGTCATGAGTTCGAGCCCCACATTGGATGCTGCACTGGGTATGGAGCCTACTTTTAAATGTTTTTAAATAAAAAAGAGTCCTCATTTTATCATTGGCAACAAACTTTTTTTCTGCAGTGACAGGCTCACTTCATTTTCAAGGAAGTGCCTACCAAATTACCCAACTCAAAATGATTTGTTATTCCTTCTACTAAAAATGGCTTTTCATGAAAAAAGTGCTAATTCAGCTCCTAACTCCTCATGAGTGCTTTTTTAGACAACTGTTGTACTTAGTATACAAAAATGCTTTATGCATACTTTCCATTTTGTCACAGAGAATATTAAAAAGATGTGTTCAAGGGTTGGGCTTTATAAAACTAATTTTTCCTGCTTCATTAATGGTTTTTTAATTTAGACTGGCTTTTTAGTTTTGTTTTTGACAAGTGCATGATGTGTATACAATTATTAGCACAGTTTATTGCCACTGCCTTGACTCATGCCAAGATGTCATCAGTTTTATCCACCAGAGGTGCAAATGTCAACATTATGAAAAAGAGAAACGGTGTTTTAGTATTATGAAAATAGCTTTTACTTTATGGTCTCCTGAAATTCTCTTGGGGACCTTCCCCCTGCCCAGCCGCCGCCATAGTCCACAGACCACGCGATGAAAATCAGTACTTTAAGGGTGGATACATCAGAGTAGAGACTTTGTCTTTTTTTTTTTTTTTAACAGAGTCTTTTTATTCTATTTTATTTCTGAGTCTGCATGTTCCTGTACTTATAGATTTTTCACATCCATTTATATATAGTCTTTGTAATTAAATTGTATCTGTGGAATGCA